GCAGAGCAGCCTGGGCTATGTCTGGCCACAGCTAAGCAGAGGTCACACAGAGCAGAGGCCTCTGTTTGGGGCAAAAAGGTTCTGTTTGGGGCAGACTTTGCAGAGATACTATGAATGTACCTAAGTTGGGAGGAACCTACTACGGGTCTTTCCTTAGGTATAGGGTAGAATATAATTACATATAAAGAAGATGAAAAGAAAAACATGTTTCTATGTGTCTATACTTGCATATCTAAATATCTATCTCTGCAGGGAGCATGTGCTGGAGTATTCATGGCAGTCACCTCTTGTAGGGGTATGAAGGGTCAGCAGAGTCTGAGGGAAATACTCCTGATTTTTACCATCTGAAATTTCCAACAAGTGCTTATATTATTAGAGAGAGTGACCATGACATTAATGTCAGGGCCTAGCAGCCTGTCTCTCAGTTTTGTCTCTTCCCTGGTCTGTAGCTATGACCAAATGTTTAGCAGTCTCCCAGCCTGTGGCAGTCCTCTCAGTCCTAGACCCATCAGCCTCTGTTGTTCTAAACATACAGTTTGCTCCCCTATGAGAAAGAGAAAAGGGCCTGAGGGGATCATAAGGTTCTTTTCCACCTGACATTGGCTGGGCTGGGCTTGGCTGGACTTCACAGGTGTTTTGGGCCACTGGGCATTTGAATTCACATAGCAGTCTTCTCCAAAATCCTTGGCTTTTTTTTCGCTTATGTAATCTGGGAATTATGAGAAATAAGTGTGATATAGCCAAGAAGGGAAAAAGTATTTAATACCTTGATTGTGAAATATGAGACCTGAGGTGAATGGGAAGGTCAGTAGAATAGAGCATATGAAATTGAGGTTCTTGGTAGAAATGATGAGGTTGCAATTGAGTGTTTCCTGGAACCTTAGTCCCTCCCTCTCAACCTTTTCCAGCTGCTAAAACACTGAGTATATTCCTTCTTTGTACCTAAATTAACCCCATGTTTATAGTATTCTCTTTCTTAGATCATTTTACATTCATTCCATCCTTGTGAAGACAATGATCCAGACATAAGTACAGCTCTATTGTACAAAAGACGGAGATTCATATGGAAAATTAAATTCACATCTCCTTCCACCCCCACATCCATAGTCCCTGCTCATTTCTGTATTAAACCACTCTAGTCAGAGCAACCCACTATGTAAATTCATTCTGCATTCAATTCAGCACTGCCTAGAAAGCTAATCAGAAGGAAAAAGTACAGCCCTAGGGCATAGAATAAGAGAAACAAGTATGTTCTTAAGCTCTTCCACCCACAACCTCTATACTGCTAGATCACCCAGGCCATACCTACCCAATTTCAAGCACACATCCTTCTTTAAAGGTACAGTAAAATATGTGGAGCCAAAATAGCCAATTGTTTAAGCATTTACTTCCAATATATAAAAAAGGAAACTGCAGAGCTGTTGATCAGTTAGGCACAGATAGCTTTATTCCCCTTCAAGTTTCTCTGTTTTATCACTGCCTCCTTCTCAGAATTTGAAGTTTTCGAGAAGGCTATATCCGAAAGTGAAGGGAGAGCTGGGCCCTAGGGAATCTTGGGTGTGCTCCCAGCTTTAGCAAGAAGGAGAGGTAAGTTGACAGTGAGGCTGAAAATAATGCTGTCACCTCAAGTGCATGGTGAAATGTCAGTAACATTGGAACAGTGGTCACTTAAGGCACACAAGGATGAAACATGGGTAAAGGCTCACCTAACAAAACTCCCTGAAATGGTAAATTCTCCATGGAGCTCACCACACCAAGAACTTAGGGTGATTAGGTGAGATTGCTTCATCCCACAAACAACAGAACATAAACTCCTTCTACTGATCCCTCATTGGGAGTGTCTAGTAAATTATACTTACTACATGGGAAGCAACAATGACATAACCAAGGTCATGTAGGTCATGATTCCAGGAAAATGTAATGAGCAGGTAGTTCCAGAAAGGAATCCCTGGCAACCACCAGTTGAGCTTCTTACTATGCAGGCAATAGAGTAGTGAGCAGACCAAGGCTTTTCTTTTTTTTTTTCTTTTTTCTTTTTTTTTGAGATTGAGTCTTGCTCTGTCACCCAGGCTGGAGTGCAGCGGCACAGTGTTGACTCACTGCAATCTCCACTTCCTGGGTTCAAGTGATTCTCCTGCCTCAGCCTCCTGAGTAGCTGGGATTACAGGTGCGTGCCACCATGCCCAGCTAATTTGTGTATTTTTAGTAGAGACAGAGTTTCACCATGTTGGCCAAGCTGGTTTCGAACTCCTGACCTCAAGTGATCTGCCCACTTCGGCCTACCAAAGTGCTGGGATTACAGGCATGAGCCACCATGCCCAGCCAAGGCTTTTCTATAATGTGCCTTTGCCACCTTTAGGCTGCATAAAGGACCTTAATCAAAAGTTGATGCATTGCTGGTGTGTGGTCATGCCTGTGTTCCTGTTTCTCTGACCTCATCTCCATCTTTCTTTCTCTGATTTTTGTTTTTGCTGGGCCTCCCAGCTTTGAAAATTTCAGACTCAACATTATGTTTCTATTTGCTGAACAGAATAGGAACAACAACAAAACTCCAAACTAAAGAAATGATATTGGGAAGTCTTCCAGTTCATTTTATTGGGCTAAAGCCTATATTGTTTTTTAAACATTTAGCAGCCTCTTATGGTTTGTAGAAGAAAATATATAAGAAACAAACATTATATGGATATAATCCAAAAACTGTGAAGAAATCAGTTGGATAGTAAAAGGTAAATAAGGCATGTTGGTTTGAAGCTTCTGTGCTTTCTCAACATATTAAAAGTGTTTCTCGAGTTCATCAGTAACAACTATTTACTGACTACTGAAAGGAACTAGCTTTGCATGGAACTTGACTTTCCCTGAAACAGCTCCCCCTGATTTCCAGGCCCAGTCATTTGTGGTTGACAGGTGAGTCTTCATCTTGGAGTAACCAGGCTTTTATGCTTGAAGCTATTCACCCTGAAGGAAAGGCTTAGGCTAGAACTTATTAGGATCTGGAAAGTTAGAGACCACCGAGAATGTGGTACTGAGGGGTGGGGGCTGCTAGAAAACACCAAGCTCCCCTGTGGATATGAGGAGTCTCTCCACTGGGACCAGGCAAGTTGAGGTGGAGGATAATGGCCACAGTTGGGAGGCATACACAGAACAAGTCCACCTCACTGAGGTGTGTGGGCAGGGGTTTAGACATGTTCTTGCCTTTTCCTTTCCCAGGGGTATCTTGGGAGCTCCCTTACCCTTTTGCATAATATTTGCTGCTTTTGCCATTTCCTGTCTGTAGCTTGATGCAGTGCTGGAGGTCTGGAAGACAGGGAGGCCTGGACTAGCTGTGTTGACCTCATAGACAGGCAAACCCTTTCTCATGAAAGCAGAGCCTCCCAGGAGCTGCTCCTCACCCTCCCATCCCCAAATAACCAGGTCAAAGAATCCTTCCTTTGGTGGCCTGTGGGCATAAAGCAAAGCCCTGGAAATCAGCCCTCAATGATGATAATTTTAGTGAATTATGAGAGAAGGATTGAGGAAGTGGAGCACAAGCAAGCTCATTTTGGAGTTTTTCCTCCATGTTAAGGGGGAGAGGAACACAAGACAATCACCCATACTCCCACATAAAGGCAGATCTGAGACTTCTACTTCCTCTTCCACGTGCTCTCCATGGGCCAGGCCAGGGGGTGCACAAGGACTGTGGCTCAGCTTCTGCTGCCTTCCATGCCTCCATCTTGGGGCTGTAGTGCCACTCCCAAATAGTGCCTTCATTGGGTGATAGAGTGGGCATGGAAATTGCGGATGCTGACAGCAGAAGCAGAAAGCAGGGGAAAAGAGAGATGTGCTCACCTCCCTACTTTCTGTGAAGTACGGTGGAAAGGGACTTGCAGAAGCATTCAAAATCCACATTCAGTTCCCCCCGGGCCTCAATTCCCTAATTGTAACCCAGCATGGGGGCAGTTGCCTCCCACGGTTGGGGAGGTCATTTTTGATGAGGGGCATAGGAACACCTGTGAACTGTAATTTTTCCATGCACAGGTGTTTGGAGGGGATTTCTGAAGGTGTTTTTTTCCCCCCGGGAGTGGAGGGTGGTCTATGTCCAAATATGCTGCGGGGAAGAATGAAAGGAGTGTGGGAGGAGGTGGCAAATGAGGCAGGGAGCTGGAAGATCCCAGACTGACAGGAGGAAACCCTGCCTTTGCAAGGCCTAAGGCAGACAGATCTGTGAGGCTGCCCCCACTCCCAGGAGACTGCACCTTAGGGGACAGAGGGTGTATGTGAAAGTTGGGGGGAGGAGTGAAGGTGGTTGTCCATCCTCTCCTTCACCCACCACTAGGCAAGCGCAGAAGGAAGCAGGTCGGTGGGGACTAGGGTAGAGGAGTATAGGAGAGGAGCAAGCTGAGGAGGGCGGCTCTTTGAGTCAATCAGGCCCTTCTCACCACTCTTGAGGAGGCTGGCTCAGTCCAGGCTTGGAGGAGGGTTCTCAAGCCTAGGAAATCCCGCTTGCTCCCTTGTGCGAGTGGGAACTGTGAGATGGGGGAGTAGGCCTGAGCTGGGAGCTCCTACTAGCATGGTTGACCCCCGGAGTTTTGGAAGAGTTTCTATGGAGACTGGGGTGAAGGGGCGCTTGAAGAGTGGGCCACGTCTTTGGCAGAAAGCAGCCCCACGGGGCCGGACCAGGGTTGGAGGTTGCAGAAGACGGCGGAGGAGGATGGCTGGTGCCCGGGGAGGGAGGGCTTCCTGGAGGCTGAACCCGCCCTGAGCCTCTGCATCCTGGCCGGCCTGGAGTCTGTTTCATGCAGGTCTTTCACTAGCAGCGGCCTCATCCCGCCCTTGGGGCGCTAGGGACCGGGCCGGTCGGGAGAGAATAGGGGGCCGCTGCTTGTAAGGGGTCCTCGAACCGGCCCGGCCCGGTTCACCTTGAGGCCTCCGGACCGAGCGCTGGGGGTGGGGCGTAGCCGCCGCTGCGGCCCCTGGTGTCGGTGGCGGGAGCAGGGAGAGAGAGGGTGGGGGATCGAGGAGGAGCTGAGCGCGGACAAGCTGCAGCTGCTGTCTGTCCGTCCGGCTCGCCGGCAGTTTGGCAGGGCCCGAGACTAGGTCTTCCCGCCTGCCTTCCCGCCCCCTTCCCCTAGGCGGGAAGGGCGGTTATCCTGGGCGGGCGGATTCCCGTCTGAGTAGCTGGGACAGATGCGTTTCCGTGGCGCGGCTCCCGGGTTATTACCCCTCCCTAATGGGGAAATGGACGGAGACCGGGGGAGGGGGAGGAGCCAACCCCACCCCACCCCCACTCTCCGCTTCCCCGCCCAAGGTGGCCCGAGGCCGGCGGCAGAACCAGGAGCGACGAGGGCCATCTCCATCCCCAGGCAGTCCCGGAGTGTGGAGTGGGCATGGGGACCTGGCGGGAAATAGTGTCGATTAGCACCCCCCAGTCCCGGATGCCAGGGCCCAGTCGTTGCGAGGTCAGTGGAGGGAGGGTGTGTGGTGGGAAAGGAGGGTAGAAGTGCAACCTTCTTTTCCCCTCCCCTGGCATTCCAGTGTATTAACGTTTAGCAGGTGGGCTCGGCGCGGTCTCTGCGGGAGCGACAGTTGCGAGAAGATGCCTGCAGGAAGTGTCGTCCCGCCGGTCTCTAGTCCCCGGTCTCCGCGGCGGGAACACAGGCTCTGGCGGGAGCGAGGGAACGAGGAGGCCCACGACAGGTGCTGTCTGTCCGCTGGTCTGACAGGCCGGGGCGGGAGTGCGGCCCGGCTCGGTGCTGCTTTCCCCTCCCCCTCAGCTGGACGCGGACTCTGACACTAGTTAGCGTGAGCAATCGACTAATTTTATCCGGCTGGGGCTCAGCAGGAAACCAACGCCGAGGCGCGGGTAGTTCTTCCGGGAGACTCTGGCCCCCGGGAGGACAGTCGTGGGGAGAGGAAGGGGGGTTGGGGGTGGGATTCCTGCCGCCTCCGGTTCACTGGGGGCGGGTGGCCCCTGCTCTGCCTCACAGAGGACCGAATTTTGGCGCTAAGGTCGGTGCTGTCTGGGCACTGGCGCCTAGGGAAGAAAAGGGTATCTTGGAAGTTAGGTAGTACAAACTCTTTTGTGTTCTTCTCTTTGTTTTTTCTACTTATGTTCCTTTCATTCCTGAAGTCCCCGGATTCTAGCAGAGTGTCTGACACACAGGTCTCTAGAAAATACTGCTTAAGTAACGTGGAAACCAGGCATGGAACTTTGCGCCTGGTGACCGCTAGAGAGAGCTGAAAGGCAGGAATCAAAGGAACTTTGAAGCACAGTCTCCTGAACCCCTACAGTAGTTCCAATCCCTTTCCTTGTGACCCTGCAGTCTCTGCTGCATTTCAGTTTATTAGAATTTCTGAACTTGCTTCAAGGGCTCTTATTCTACCCGTCACCCACCCTGTCTAGGCGCCAGCTATGAGACACTAGGGATTTGTAATCCTTGTCAGCTGGCCTGCACTGCTACTGTGGAGAAGTGGCAGGGAGCTGCTGCTGGCTGCCTTTTCAGACATGAAAAGTCCCTGGAGGAGAGCATATGCTCATAAAAATTATGGGATTCCACAGCTTTGAAATCTAATAATCCTGAATGATCACAGACTGGGCCCTTGGGGCAGCTGGGGAAGGGGCTGGGGGAGGGGACACACTTTAAGTGGGAGAGCCTGGGTCCCTGCAGTGGGACACAGTAATTAGCCTCAGTGAAAGGAGATGAGGAAGCCAGCCTGAGGGTGTCTGCACTGAGTCTGAGGAGAAGCAACAATAGACAAGAGCTGGCTGGTAAACCACTTTCTTCCAATGTCAACCAGTCCCTTCTCTTTGCCCCTGTCCTGCCCAGTGTGTGGCCATTTGGAGATGGACTTTTTTGTACCTCTTAGTTTGCTAGGGGTGGAGGGACAGTAGGTGAAACCAGGTCTCCAAGCAAGATTGCATGAAGGTCTGGAGTGACTGGGAGACCAATAACAAAAGTATGTGTCAGTTTCAGGTGAAAGTAATCATGAAGAGATGGTGTATGCTAAAAGTTAGACTTTGCTAAGCTTTCATTTTTGCTCAGAGCTGGTCCTGCTGACATCCTTATGGAAGTGGGTTTGGTACACAGTTGTTGAATGAAGTGGGCAAGTCATTCATTTATCCCTCCTAGGGCCAGTTTCCTTATCTGTAAAACCAGGTTTTTAAACTGTACTGGAAGTCAATGACATGAGTTGAAGTCTCATCTTGCTCTGTCACTGATGAACTGTATGAACTTGCTGCAGTCTCTTGCTACCTCTAGGACTCAGTTTCCCCACTTAAATTCAATGCAGAGTATGAACAAGGGAGACTCTAAGGTTACTCCCAGCTTTGTCATTCTTATAGGTCTGTCTCTTCTGTCATCCTCAATTCCAGGCTCTGTCACTGCCAGGCTGTGTCACCCAGCCATGTAAGTCCCTTTAGGTCCCCCATAAATAACATAAGGGAGAGGGAAGGAGAACTGAATTGGATTATTGTTAATTGCCAGTTTTCAATATGGCACACTTGTAGCAAGGTTATGGCCTTGGTGGGGCCTCCATTCAACTCAGCAAGTAACCATATTCTCATTTTGTAAAGTAATCACTTTTCTGTTTCAGATCTTGTTTAAAAATCCAATCTCAAACAGTTGACCAACTCCAAACCCCTATATAGCTCTTTTTCTAATTTCTTCTCTCACAGAGAGCATAGAACCTGGCAGAAATCTGATTTGAAATGAGACTTCAGCTCTGAAGTGAAACTTCCTGCTATTAGTCAGGTTAAGACTATTTCTCCCTTGTAGGCAGCATACATACCCAAACCAAATTTTTAGATCTGTTTATTTTGTTCCAAACTCCTTGAGGATTTAAATGTCCCATGTCTTGAGCTCTGAAATTTTGTTCATTCTAGATTTAACTGTGGTGCATAAGAGGCTGCATCCTACTCTAAATATTAATACTGTCCTGCTTTTGCCAATCAACATTCTCTCCAAAAGCACACAAGCTCACATGTGCACATCCACATGTGTGGAAGAAGTAAATTGATACCCCACCATGTTATGTGACATCTGAATGGGCAGATTTGGGACCTGTGAATGTCTTTCCTTCATCTGGAGAGAAGTAGGTGACCACCTGATTCTTAACATCTGTCTACACCTTGAGCAACAAGAGAGGTCCTGCAAAGCCACCCTCTGGTCACTCGGTGAGAGTGAGGCAGGGAGGAATGGAAGTAGGGGCATTGTTGCTTCAGTAATTTTAGTGGTCTCTCCTGGGAGTTATAGGGCTCCTAGGGCCCAGCTTCTCCTGTTCCACTACTGTTAGAACTGACAGGATAGTAATTAGGCCCTTTCTAGGGCCCCTTCCTACCCACAGAGCCAAGAACCAGTGGGTTTTCCTTTGGGGAGCTGATAAGAGCTGGACTGGGACCAGCGGAGGGGGCTCAGGACTTTGGCCTTGAATGAAATCATCAGAGGCCAACCATGCCCCAGCTGCCTGTTTGTAACGGAAAATCATGGGTGGGAACTATTGTCTTCTTTGGAGCCCCTCAGGACAACCTTATCCTCCTGGCCCTAGGATGACCCTGGCTTAGGGTGGCAAGTTACTGTTGGCTCCAAGTGACAGCCAGGAATGCCTGGCAAAAAGATGATGAAAGGGTGGGTGACAGGAACACAATAGACAAAGGCTCAGAGAGGGGAAAAACGGACACAAAGAGGCAGAGGGAGGAGAGAGGCTGAGCTCCTAATGAGGTGAGCTGTGCTAACTGAACACAGCCTGGCAGTGCCTTCTGCCCCTAACCAGGGACACTGGGAATGTTCTTCAGTAAGATTGTTGCCAGAGCCTGGGCATAAGGAAGCATCAATTACCTACTTAAGAGGGATCAAAGTGGTTCAGAGTCTACCTTTCATGGCACCTTTAAGGCCCTTTAAGCAAAGTGGCCTAGGATGCCCAGCATGGGAGACACATTGGGTGGTAAAGGCTAGGATGGCTTCCCCTTTCCAGAAGAAATTGTCCAACCCCATGTGTAACTGCTGCCTGTACCTTTTTGGAATCTAGGCTGGGAATTGTTTTTTTTGTTTTTTTTTTTGTTTGTTTGTTTTTCTTTTTCTTAAATAGTCCCTTTCCTGGCCTGGCCTAGGTGGAAATATAGACCTGTCATGAAAACTGAGAGATGGAGCTGGTCCACTATGTCAATAACTACTGCCCCTCCTCCTACCATGACAGCTCCTGTCATCAGTCCTCCTCTGCCTGCTGAGATGAAAGGAGTTTCTTCACATTTTGCAATGTGGATACAAGAATGGGGAGCTGGGAGGGCCTCAAGGTTAATGCCTTGGACTGTAAAATCTGTAAAAATCAGTGACTGGAACATGGAACACTGGTAGTTAAGGTTTCTTCCCTATGTGATATTCTACTCTTCCAGTATAGGATTATATAGCTTGAGCCAAAAAGTGAGATGTGGCTCAGCCTGAGATGAGTGGGACTGATGCTAACGTTAGGGGTGGACTGGGCCAAGCTGAGGCTGATTGGCCCAAGTTCCGGGTCCCCCTTTTCTCCAGGCACCTATGTGTCTATGACAGTCATACAATGAAATAGAGGGGAAAGAGAATGGAGAGAAGTCAGTAGAGGAAAAAAAGAGGGGAAGAGGGGGGCAGACTGTTAACCAACAATATGATAAGGGCATTGCCTATATCCAGTTCTTGGGAAGACATAGCCATCAGAAACTCTAAGGCTATCCAAGGCTACTTGTCTAATTTTGCCTCCCTGCCCCTCCACCCAGTGGCTCCCAAATATGGATGGCAATGACCTCCTCAGCAAACAGAGACTTGGGCCTACCCTATTAGGCCCCTGGGGACACAGTAGCACCTTTGGCAGTTGATTATAGTGGCTGACTAATAAGCTGGGGCCAGGAGGTCCCATCCTCCTCCTCTCCCAGGGCTTAGAAAGTATATGGAGAGATTCCAAAGGCCAGGGGGTGATCCCAAGCTTTTCCCAATCCTGGGAGGAGAAGGGCCTAGGCAAATTTAAAGGCATTCTGGGGAGAATTTAGTTAATGAGTTTGGAACACCTGGAGCTTTGGCTCCAAGGGGATTGTCAAGGTGGCTGAAATGCTGTGTGCACAGGTCTGGGAACAAGTGTGCTGGTGGCAAAAATGTAAACGCTGAGCAGGGTGGGATGAAGGGGAACAGCTGGGAAAGAGCACACAATGGCAAGAAAGGCATTAGATTGGTTCCTCAGGGCTGGGGGAGCCTGGCAGTAGCTCCCCATTGGGGTCTGGGTCAGGGGCCAACATCTTATCCTTGCTGGAATCTCTCTGCTCTTTCTTGAACATCCTTTGATGCATCAGAGGAACGAAGAAGAGGATTACAGCTCCGATGATGGGGGGCACACCGGCAAAGTAGAAGGCCACATGGTAGTCCCCAAAACAGTTGTGGAGGAGGCCTGAAACAGTCAAGAGAAACAAGTCAAGCTCAGCTTTGTCTTGCTGTCCAAAGGTGCTCTCAGCCTCTTCTAGGGGCCATCACAGTGCCTATCCAGATAATCTTGGCCTGTATTGCCTTGACTCAGGAGCTCCCTCAACTTCAAGGGCAGGTGACTCCTCCCTGAGGCATTGGGGCTGCAGGCCCTTGAGTGAATGCTCATTATGAAATTAGCTAATAAAGCTTCTCTTAGAGTTCCTCCATTTATGACTTTCATCAATCTAAGCCCTAGTCACACCTAGTTAGAGAGTTGGGAGTAAACCTAGTTTAAAAGAACTCCACAAAAGATGGCCAAGTGTTGTCTTGGTCCACAGTGATATTCCCCAGCTCCCTACCTCCACCACAAATGGTTCTTGTGGTACATTTCAGATGAGTTCTTATTTTCCTTTTCTCTGCAGTGACCCTTCTCTGAAGTTCCGTTTGTCCTAGCAAGAGGCTATATGTGTTCCTTACAGTTACATATATGGTTGTCCCTTCTGGGTTTCTCCAAGCTGCCAAACCAAGGATATGTTTGGCATGGGATGTAAGGCCTTCCCTACTCACTTCCAGAAGCTAATGTGTGGTACCTCATAGTACCTCAGAGCCCAGAAACAGTATTCAGGAAAGGCAAAAAGGCCCTTGGCCTTTTGCTTACTCAAGAGTTAAGCAAAATGGAAAGAGATGTGGATTCTGGGGCACTGTTTGGATCAGGGGGTGAGTAGAGGCCCACCTCCCCCAATGGGTAATATAGCTGTTGCCCAGGAGCTTGAGTGAAAGCTGTTGCCACTGTCACACAATGCCCTCATATCACCTTGCACATAGTTTGTGTTCAAAGAATATTTGTTTAACCCATTTGACCAGCCTAGAAGAAGCAAATGCATGAATCATTGTTTGCAATAAATCCTGTAGAAAGGAAATGGAGGTCTCTCTTGTCATTGGTTTCTTGGGATACCAACAGTGCCCTTCTGGGAAAATGGAGGGAGAAACTAGGAGTGCTGCAAGATGGCAAGTCAACACTTTTCCTGCTGAAGGTGAGCCTCACTGGCCTAATTCTGGGGTGTTACTTTAATCAAATCTCTTTTACAGTCTTAGTTCAGAAGTCAACAGAGGAGGAGGAGGAGGATGTCCCTAGGTGTTAATAAAACTAGGGCCTGCTTTCTCTTCTCTTCCTACCCAACTACCTTGCAAATAATCACATGTCCGTGGGGAGAGCGAGAGGATACTGGATCAGTGGAATCATTGGAAAGCAAAACTCATTTTTCTCTCCACCCCTCTGGAAGGATCCATGCTGTCTGAAATAAAACCCTATTGAAACAGATATACAGCCATGGAAAATCCATCCCTCAGAATGGATCCATGCATGTGTATTGTGTTTAATCTCTTCCACGAATAATGATAAGGGGTTTTGTGCACTCTGACAAAGTTTCTTAAATAGAGGAAAAGGGGCCTCAAGAAGAGGTGCTCAGGAGAACCAGTACCCAGGGAAAACAGGACTCCCTGATTGATGCCCTCCCTGGAGTATCAGCCTCACCTGCAATGGGGGGCCCAGCAATCATTGGCAGGGCCATCATGCCCAGGAGGTAGCCAATGGCCTGTGAGGCCTGCATTGGGCCTACCAGCTCAAATGCAATGGGGGCCATGATGGTAATGAAGAAGCCATCACAAAGGCCCAGGAAAAGACAGACGACGATAAGGCCCCCGAAGTTCCGGCACAGGGGAATCATCATGGACATCAGGCCCAGGAGCAGGAAGGAAAGGACCTGGAGAAACAAGGGCCTAAGGTCATATTGTGCTGGCCAGCCAAGACCACATAGCAAATCACATCTCCTTTCTCAAGTCTTCATTTCTACCATTTATAAAATGGGGTACTGGGAAGGGGAAGGTGTCAACAGAACAGTTGGACTGAATGGTTAGGCCCTTTCTCTATTTCCTTCCCTTCCTTCCTTCCTTCCTTCCTTCCTTCCTTCCTTCCTTCCTTCCTTCCTTCCTTCCCTCCCTCCTTCCTTCTTTCCTTCCTCCCTCCCTTCCTGTTTTTTCGACAGAGTCTCACTGTGTCACCCAGGCTGGAGTGCAGAGGCACAATCTCGGCTCACTGCAACCTCCGCCCCCTGGGTTCAAGTGATTCTTCTGCCTCAACTTCCCAAGTAGCTGGGAATACAGGCGTGCGCCACCATATCCAGCTGTTTTGTATATTTAGTAGAGACGGGTTTTCACCATGTTGGCCAGGATGGTCTCAATCTCTTGACCTTGATCCGCCTGCTTTGGCCTCCCAAAGTGCTGGGATTACAGGTGTGATCCACCATGCCCCACCAACTGGTTAGGCCTGTTCTAACTCTTGAACTGAGGGATTCAAAGTCCAGGAAAGCCCCTGTTTAACTGTGATTCTGTTGGGATAACAAAAAGATCAGGGGAGACTTTGCCCCTGGCCTCAAGAAGTTTGTCTTTGTACTAGACCCTAAGATAAAAGGAATTGCTGTTTCTTCCATCTGAGCCTGTATTTGACTTCCCCATGGATCAGGGTCTGGCATCAGGCCATATTGGTATTCTCAGATCCAACTAAAGTATGGAAAAAGGGAAGGGAGGACATGAGGATGGCTTGCATGATGATCAGATGGGATTGTAAGTAGAAGGTACAGCTTCTTGAAATGGGAAGGAGCCAGTGCCCATTTTTGTGAGGGCTGATTTTATAAAATACCTTGGCATAAAGAAAACCATTGGGACATTCACCCAGGTTCCTATGCTTTAGGACATGGGCAGCACTGCCCATCTCAGACATCTCAGACACATGGCTCTGGGGGCCTCTGGGCTTGGCTGGACACCCTGAGAAGGCAACAAAGGAGGCTTTCCGGGGAACCAAGCCACTGGAAAGATGTGTGTCTGGGGAGAATGAAGCCAGCCCAGGAACAGTGACTGGCCACTGGGCTTTCTTTGGGCTGAGCAAAATGACTCCAAAATGAAGAAACTTCCTTTCCAGAGGTTGTTTTCTTTCCTTCTCCACAGAGAAAAGGGCCACTGCAAACACAGCTGGCCTTCATTTGCAACCTGTGTCGGTGAGCTAGACTGAAGACCTGGGCTGCAGGCAGAGAAAGGAACCCTGCCCCCATCCCACTGCTGCCAACCCCCTGCAGCTAGTAGAGCCAGGTTGTCCCAGGGTCAGGGCTAAGACCTGATCTCTTTATCAAGTCCTTAATAGGCCCAAGGATTTTCCAATACTTCACACAGGCAAGCCAACTTACCCAGGAACACACAGAAGGAGTGGGGGTCAAGGCTATTTGGTGCCCTAAAGATTTTCTATGTTGTTGCTGTCAGTGGGTTTGTTAGGTTGATTAGCTGATTTTTGGAGAAGATAATGCCACCTGAGGACATCTTTTTGTTAGGAGACCTTTGAACTTTGCCCAGGCAATCTTGAGGTAGCCAGGCAGAAGCTAGAAATAAGAACCTTGTTACCTGAGCATCTCCTCTAGGAGATTCACACACAACTATAAAATAAAACTGGATGCACCTATCAACAAAGCCCATTATTGAAATTAAAAGTTAATACCATTATGTAACACAAAGGACCCTATTAACTGTTTTTAATCATGTCTAAGTATTACTATTGTATCTAGTTGTCTGTCAAACATCCTCCATGAGGCTTTGCCAAGGTTCAGAAATGTAAAATCCCTCTTGGACATGAGAGACAGGCCTCAAGAATTGGCACAAAGTGAGGCTGTCCTGCAGCCTGTCACTATTTCCTTTCCAATAGATGGTCCAGGGGCTTGATGCCAGAGACATGTGCCAGTCTTTACCAACAGTAGGAGCCACAGAGTTTAGTGGATAGCTCTTCAGAACCTGAAGCTGTGTACACTCCTTTCCTCCCCCAGGTCTGTACTCCTGCATTACACGCAGGGAGAAAGGGAGGCACATTCCTGTGATGGAGTATCTTGACAAATTCAAGAGGAAGAAGTTCATCCATTATTGTGCTCTTGGCCCAAAACACTCAATTTGTAAAATGAGGAAGTTGAACTACTAGTTGATGAAGATACATTTTAGCTATAATGTTCTAAGATTATATTATTCTTAGCGGTAAAACTCTGTGAAGTAAGAGTAAGGAAAAGGGGCCAGAGCAGTGGGTGGGTGGTCAGCAGAGGCCTAAGCCTATCTTGGACTCTAACCGGGTAATGCCTCCCTGTCCCTTGGAACTCCCACTGTATAACAGAAAGCAAAAGCTGCTCAGGCTCTACCTTTCTCCTAGAGAATGTGGTAAGAATCACATGAGTTATGTGACTAGGCAGAGGCTGCTGCCTCTCCTCAAGATAAAGCCCTGGCCCAATGCCAGATTACCCTGACTTCCAGAACTCTTTGGCATCTTGGAGCTGCTAATTCTGGCAGGGAAGATTCACAGGGGTGGCATGTAGGTGAGGCTGGGAAAGCCACACATACTCCTATGC